ATCTCCTTCTCCAGGAGCAGGTGGCCTCGTGGCCCGTGTGCAGAACGGTGCTCGCTCAAGGCTGCAGGAAGCCCCTCTGGAAGTTCTTGAGATGTTGGCTCACGGCTGAGAAATCGTGTCCTTTTGGAGCGTTAAGATGCCTTTCTCTTTCTTTCGCCAGGTTTTTGACAACAGCTCGGATGCCATTCCGATTCACGCCATCAGGGTCCTTACCTCCATCATGGCTACTTCTCCCGCTGCCAAGGTAAGAGGCCCGAGACCCTCCTGGCACCTGTGAATACCCCTGAACAGTGGTGGCCATCCAGGCTGGCCATTTCTCTTGCATCCACTAGTGACTCCGTACCCCCAAGTGGAACGGGTGGTCAGCACCCTGAACGGGGTAAAGGAAGCGAAGACGTGGAAAATCAGTTTTTAGCCCAACACGGATGATTCCCTAACCCTAACCCTGTTCTTTGCACAGCTTGAACCCCGAGATGGTGGGCATGAATGTGCTCTCAGGGACCTCTCTTGCTGCCCACCAGGCCCCACCTGCTGACTCTTAATTATAGAAGAGAAGTTGGCATATTTCAAAGCAACATCTTGTAGCATCACCTTTATTGCCAAGAAAGAAATAGATGAGAAGCAGGGCTGGTGAGGAAGTTGACTAGGAGCAGGAAGACCCAGGTTCTCCCTCAGCCACAGAAGCTCCCTGGGGGGACTTTGGGCCAGTTTCTCTCTCTCTCTCTCTCTCTCAATCCAACCTACCTCACAAGGTTGTTGTTGGATTTGAACTGGGAAGGCCCAGATTCTAGTCCATTCTCAGCCACCGACGTTTCCTGCATGACTTGGAGCCGTCCCGTCCCTCTCAGACCAACCTGCTTCACAGGGTTGTAGCTGTCAGGAAAAATAGGTCCTGCCCTGACCTCAGATTTGGGCACATAGCAAACTATTGAAAAACGCTACCACTAGAACGCCTCTCAGCATCCTTGGAAAAGAAGGGTGAAGGGTTGCCATCTTGTATTTATTTGGAAGTCCAACCAAACCCTCCAAGGCTTATGGAATGAAGCGATCCAAGATTTGGGAATGTCCTAAAGAGGGTGCTTTGGAAAGGTTGAAGTTATGGCTTTGTTAAAGCCTGAAAGGCCCTTCCTTGCTCGCCCATTTGTTTCCAACTCACTGAAAACACCCATCACCCGATGTTGGCAGCAGCAAGACTCACCAAGGTCCGGCTTGCTAACGGGCGTTTGGCTTTTCCAGGAGGTGTTCAAAGAAAGGATTGGCTATTCGCACTTATATGAAGTTCTGAAGAGTCAGAGTCAGCCCACCAAGAAGCTGCTGCAGGACCTGCTAAACATGGTGAGATCATCCCCCTTTTAGATTCGGAGAGCCGAGAAACGTTGGCCCTCCCGTTGCTTTCTCCTTTGCCTTTGCGAGGCTCTTGGTTTCTGCCTCTGGTAATTAAAGGCTAAAAGAGGTTCATTCTGAGCCACAATCTGAACATGGTTTGCCATTGCTTTTTTGCAAAACACTTACTCGACTTCCCAGTCTGGCCTATAGCTTTGGGATCTCCGGGTGGTCTCCCCTCCCAATCCCGCTTTGCCTTTTTTCAAGGAGGGTTGGCTTCCTGCTCTCGCTGAGAAAACTCAGCTGAAAAGGAACAGAGGTCCAGATTTCTTCCATCTCCCTTCTGGGAGAGAAAAACCCTTAGCCTTGGTGCCCTGGGGGAGCTCTTTCGATTTAACCTGCCTCGCAGGATTGTTGTCGTCCTGAGTTGAGCCAAAAAAGAGTGTACATTAATTATGTGGTGTTCTGGAGGAAAGGCAGGGTATAAATGTAATAATGAGACCCAGGACATCCAGAGTCCTTGAAAAATCTTTTTTTTTTTTTAATTATGATTTTAGCAGCCAAAGATTTGGCTGGAGCTCAGAAATTCTTAGATATGTATTGGAAAGAATGAGAAGAGAGGAAAGGACAAGAGTGCTGAGTGGAATAATCATAGTTCTTTGTTAAGATCAGTGTTTCTCAACCTCGGTTGCTTGAAGATGGGTGGACTTCAACTCCCAGAATTCCCCAGCCAGCCATG